GAGTGAGGCTGATGACACTGATCCACTTGGAAAAGGTCCGCCAGCATCCAGGCTACCCAGGACAATATTAACACCAAAACGCTTTCCCCTTTCCCGCTGAGTGTTTATTTTATAGCTTTTGCGCCAGGTAATCAACTGAAACACTTCAACAACAGAAAGCTGGCAGAATGTTAAGGAAAAGGAGTGATTATCTCCCCAGCAGATGTGACAAAATGGTTTCACGTTGGAAGCAGTATTGCATAAATGAATCAACTGAATGGAGGAAGGAGGAGGGCAGGGAGAGAGAGCAGAGAGAGCAAGGAGTGAGCATCTTCCAACGTGGATTGTGAGGGAGGAAAGGCACTATTCAGCTGTCTGCGTATTTATAAACTAAGAATCAACACACACAATCCCTGCTTCTCAAAATTACATTCGACACTGCTTTAGAGATGTTCACAGACTTCTCAATAGAAAGCTACAGAAGCTTCTATGAAATCAGACAGCACCTGTGTCTAAATCACAGGCCTACCCAGCGGTGTATTTTGAAGAGATCATCACCATGGGGCCCTTTTACAAATAGTACTGCAAAGGTCACAAAGCTGCATGAACTTAAATTATAGGATAAATCTGACTGAGCACCCATTTCCATCCCTCAGATTCCCACTCCAGGAAGTCAGAAAGCAGCCCCACTCCAGAGGCGCTGACTTGGCAGTGCAGCTGACACAGAGCTGCGTTCCCCTCCGAAGGCTGACTGAGCAGCAGTTTAGCTGGCAGCAGACAGCAACTCCACACAGGGTAAATGGATGCAAAATTTAACACAATGGCCCCGCTTCCTCTCAGACTAAATAGCTGTAATTTATGAAGAGGCAAGTTTTCAAATCATAAATTAGAAGTACCACCTGCACCTCTTTTTAAAGACAAACTTCCTAAAAGGTTACAGTGCCGGGTGCTTCTCAGAATTAAGGATTCGAGGACCGTAGATGTGTGTTTGACAATGATCCCTGGGAAAACCCAAATACCATGGTTTACACAGATGTTCTCTATGTGGAATCTAAATATAAATTAAAATACCAGATATGCATTTGGGAACCAGCCTTTAGTTAAATCTCCAGTGCTTTTAGAATTTTTATTTCATTTTATTAGAAAAAGAGAGAATCATTGTCTACAAACTATTTTCTTTCTAACTATGCAAATACAATGAGCAAATGATCTGCAATATCAAAATACTGTTTGTAAATCACTGATGGCACTAACAATTTTAGGAATTTTCAATAGGACATCTATAGAGAAAGAACAACAGTAGATTTCAAATTGTAGATAGTAACTGAGTTTTAAGAATAGGAAATAAAATTTAAACTTTAAAAGTTAGTAGGTTCAAGTTCTCCAATTTTCAAAAATTTAAACCAAATCATCAGGAATTTAGAAGTACCCAATATATTCAAAGTTGCACAAATGAGTATGGATGATAGAAAAGTAAAGTAATCCCCATGCAATATCTTAAGGGTTGCTATCGGATATATTTAAGTGATAATTTACAGATTAAAGCTGGATGAAATAAAAATATATCCTCTCCATTACATGAAAACAGTCACAATAATTTATCAACAGTTGCCATTTCACAGCAATTAGAAAACAGGAGTTGATACAAGTTGAACAAAAAGGTACTTTTTCCTCTTTTGGGAAATAAACATATATAGATAGATACACACACACACACACACACACACACACACACACATATAACATTATCTTTTAAAATTCAAACTGGTTGATTTGCTTTTGCATCATTAAAAAAAATTTTCCCTATGATCAAAATACTGAAAAAGCACAAAGGCTGCAAAAAGAAAACCACATTTGCCATTTTAAAAAAATACATTATTGTCTCAGTGGTTCTATATATTTGCTATAAAGTTAAGTATTATAAGGACTCTGCGCTTATCAGACTCCTGGGACTATATTGGACCAGATGGAATTAAATCTGACCCCTTCTTGGTCTCCAGGAAAGATAACCCTAACCCACCCTAAAACACGATGGAGTAAGCCCCTATGCTGAACCGTTACACTGGGGAAGAAAACATGCCCACCTGGAAGCAATCGAAGTCATAGAAGTGTATGCATCTGTGGGAGAGACTGCCTGAATCAGAAAGCTATTCTTTGGATATAAGTTAGGAGCTTCTCAAAGTATAATATATAAACTCTTTTAGGCCACTAGAGTACAGATTCAAAAATGATTACTCCATAAATAACCATCTATTTTGGGGGTTGGTAAACTACAACCCCTGGGCATGTCACCTGTTTTTGTAACAATGTTTTATTGGAAGATAGCCATCTCATCTGTTTATGTATTGTCTGTGGGTGCTTTTGTGCTAACTGGCAGGATTGAATAGTTGAGACAGAGACCACATGGCCTGCAAAACCTCAAAAATTTACTTTCTGGAACTTTATAGAGAAAGCTAACTGACTCCCTCACCTAGTGCACTACATGCAACTCCGGTTCAATGAAGAGTGAATGCACATTGAGGAGCTCGCAGCATGTACTCCAAGAATGACCAACACACTGGGGCTCCTTAACAGGTAAATGTCAAACACCCCACCTGGAAATGGCGCTTTCCTCTGGGGCAAGGAAATAATGTGTATATATTTTTAACAAATATCTGTAAACATTAATACACACAAAAATAAAGAAAGCCAAATAAGCCGGGACCGGTTTGGCTCAGTGGATAGAGCGTCGGCCTGCGGACTTAAAGGTCCTGGGTTCAATTCCGGTCAAGGGCATGTACCTTGGTTGAGGGCACATCCCCAATAGGGGGTGTGCAAGAGGCGGCTGATCGATGATTCTCTCTCATCGATGTTTCTAACTCTCTATCCCTCTTTCTCTCTGTGAAAAATCAATAAAATATATTAAAAAAAGAAAAAAAGGAAGCCAAATAAGAAAAGTATGCCTGTCAATGTTCTCTCAATATTTTCCTATTACTGGGAGGAAAGGGTATGAAAATGATTCTGTTAACTTCCTCTTCTTTAAATTTGTTAGTAAATGTTTTTGGATAAGTAGTGTTTGCTCCTGGCCTCCCATGTAATTAATAACCTTGAAAGCAACCTGCCTACAATCCTTACATAGTTTGTTGAGGCTTTGTTTGGGAATATTTATTTAAACTATACATATTAAAGATTATTCTTTTAGAAAAATGTTTCTAAATTTCTTTACCTCTGTCACTCTAAGAAGGTAAAGAACACCCAGGAAAATGAAACTCTGCAAAATATACCTTAAAAACTAGAGGTATAAAATAGCTACCACTTCTGAATGGTAATGTGAAATAAGAACAGAAAATTCTGCCAAATTTGAAGAACAAATCTTCCCTGCCCTGAGTCAACTAATGAAGACTTTTTCAAACAGGGAACCTCCTGAACCCAAGCAGCTGCTCAAGAATTGTTAAGAATTCACAGGTGCTTCATATTTCAATAGTTGAAACAGGGGAGATAAAACACTGAGAAGAGATTTATCAAACACAAACTTATATCAAGATTAATTTTTTTCAACCAGCTTGTAAGTGGGCTTTCCCTTTCTTTTTAGAAAATGTACAGTATGAAACTATTTGTTAAAGACGTTTCCATAATACCTTACATTTATAGAGCATGTTACAATTTCAAAGTGCTTTCGTATGCCATCTCATTTAATCCTCACAACACCCCTGCGAGGTAGGTACAGCAGGTATTACTACTCTCATTTCGAGATGAGGACATTGAGGCAAAGAGGTTAAGCGACTCACCCAAGATCACACAGCTGAAAAGTGGCAGGACCAGGACCAGGAATCAATTTTTCTGACTCCTTGTCTAGGAATCTTTCCACTTATAACTTACTGCCCCCAATTCTGAACAGTGTACTGTGTATCAAAATCCAAAGGTTATTAGGGTTAATTTCAGTGATATCTTAAAGTTGAGTGAGAAATACAAGAACAGTAGATCAGATGGTTTTACTTGACATAATAAAATTGGTGCAAAACCACTTTTGTCTAATTACTTTTAACCTTTTGGTCCAAATACATAAAATATGCAATATTTACAGCATTTTCCTTTTTTTTTTCTTTTTTGTAAATGCAATGCTTTAAAACACATTATAAAGCACCGTAGTAAAAATAGTTTACAAGTAAAAGTACAGAAGTAGGAAAACCCTACCCATACCACAGCTCACTAAATGGAGTTATAATATGGAGTCACCAGTACCTGTTGACAGCTTTACAGATAACCCAGAGAACAAATACTAAACTTACTTTTTTTATATATATTAATGTGTGGAAGCCTTAACGAAAATTTCAATGTTCTCTGTAGTGTCTCCCCAATCTTAGATGCTGGAGAGATAGGAATGAGAAACAAGCTTTTGACTCTTTTTACAGTATTAGTAATAGTTTGAATTGGTTCTTAACACTAATGACAGTTATTTTTGTAAAGGAAATGAACATGACCTACATGAATATGGGCAATTCCATCTACAGCAGAGACACTCCCTAGCAAACATTACCAAGCATCCCAACACGTTTCGTGAGACGTGACTCACAGGAACAAAGCGCACACTGCCCACCGGTAACAACGCTACTCAGTGCAGCTGCATTACCAACCCTCCGGGTGAAGGCAGAGGAGCAAATGGATTGGTCTTCATTCATAGTTAGTTGAAAAAAAACAAAACAAAACAAAAAAAAGCTTTATCAAAAAACAGAGTATCAGAATTTTTTCTAAAATTGTATTTAGCCTTTTGATTAGAACTGCTATGTGTTTATTTTAAGCAACATATAGGTTTTTCCCAGGCAGGAGGTTATAACTCCCACCAAAATTTAACTAGGAAAAAAAAAAAAAAAAAAGGCAGAAACTTAAACTTCTTCAACCACTGACATAACCAGCTAGCATCTACTTTCCTGGATCTTTTTGTTTGTTTCCTAACTCGGCTCAATATGAACTGTGGACCTGAGAACTAAGGTGAAGACAGGGTCAGAGTTTTAGTTGAAAAATCAAATAGTCACACCTTGTACTCAGTTTGATTTAGGGTAAATCTTTTCATAGAAAAAGTTTTGTGCGAGGATGTAGAGGTCTCCATCTTTTTCTCGGACGGCGTGGGCTCTGATGAATTGGAACTGCTCTAGTGCAAATTCATAGAACTCATTCTCCATTTTCCAAATGTCAGACTGCTGTAGTTTTGCAATGGTTTGTTTAGTGGGGAGCTTCTTCTCTGTGGTTTTCCTAAGATGAGATTTCTTTCCTACTTATAAAGGAAAAAGAGAAAAGGTAAATAATTCTGAGAACACACAAAAGATCAATGCCTCTTCATTTGAAGAGATGGTTTAAGTTAACAGGGAAGGGCAGGCAACAACTGTTTTGTATTATTATCACCGGGGCAAAAGCCAGTGCCCTACTCCTACTGAAACTGTGGTTTATTCCTTTCAATGTAAATCCTTAACCAGTGAAAGTCTAGGCTGTCAAATAGTAAAAGCAAGGACTGTCCATCACTGAAGGCTGTCACATATATGCCGTACTCTCAAGTGCTCTGACTAGTTCAATTTTGAAAAGAGGGGAAAATATCTATTTCAACCTTAATACTAACTTCTCATTACCTTTACTCCATATAATTCTATGCTAGAAACAAGGACATATGTATATCTTAGAAAAAGACCTCCTCTGACTGTATCTTATCAGAGAATGGCAAAATAACCACGAACAAAGACATAGCACCACCCAAGGGAGATTGGACAGTCACTTTCAGACGGAAGCTACTGCTGAGGCGTGAAGCCCCTCTCAGGAGGGCTGTGACAGTCACAGCAGATGGGGACCATCATGAAAGTGACCCCCTCTACTGTCCTGCCTCTGCTCTAGATGGCGTTAGTAGGTCTGAGGGGGGAACACAGTCATAATGTTTGGTATCGGAATTATAAAATATTACACATTTCTGAGATTGGTTCTATAGTTTGTATCTTTCCTACAATGCCTTCTAATTATCACCTAGTTGGATGTTCATTCATTCAAAAAATATTTACCGAACACCATCTGTGTGCCAGGAATTGTTTTGTATTGAAAATGTTGAGGAGAAACAGACAATTTACCTTGAGTAACAGACAAGTTCCTTAAGAAACTTCAAATCGCACAGATTACTCAATTTGCAAATGAAGAGAGTTGAGGACAGCTTTAGAAAGAAACCCATCGTTTATATACCTGTACGGTAGAGGTCTGTAGCACCCCTGAAGAACCTGGGCAAAGCTGCTTCCAGTAACATGATAAAATCTTCGAGCTCTTCAGTAACTCCCACCAGAAAGTATTCATTAACTAGGTTATACTTGGCTTGATCCATAGCCCACCTGCTTCCCACATTCCTAAAACCAATAAAAGAAATTAAGAACCTGGTTGTTCAATCTGCTAAGTATATTTGATGGCTTTGCCACTGTATATTATAGGAAAAATCGATAAACACATGTCCATCCAAAGCCTTACCACTTTTATCAATGTCCTTTAAGAGGCACACGTTTTTAATTTTCTTTACCCCTACCCCCAGTTTCTGCTCAACTATGCAGTGCGAACTCAGACTTTATAGTTAGTTTAATATTAACAAAATTTAGTTTGAGGACAGTTAAAAATGTATACACAACACATATATTTCTCTTATCTGCTTTAGTGTGCACTTAATTGTTCATTTTAAAAGCTATCTAATAAGGTCTAAGCACTTTGTGTTTAGTGTTTATCTTAATTTAATTTGTGAGCTAGGTTTTTCCATCATTTCTGAGGAACGGAAGTAAGATAAGAAATGGTCCTGCCAGGAACCTTTTATTTTTTACATCGTCCGCTAATGGCTCTTAATAGGTTGGCTCTAAGTAAACTATGCTTCTCAGCTGGTGACTTTACCTCTCTAACTTTGTCTTTTCAGTCATTAAAAAGTAGTGGTGAGGTGAAGGGAAGAATAAGTGAGTTAATTGAGCTTACTAAGTATGTTTTACAGAATCATAGAACTGAGAGGTCCTATGAATCTGTAAAACATACTTAAGAAGCTCAATTAAAATCTCCTCAATAACCCCCAACAGAGCAATACTTTTCATTGTCTGAAGATGGAGGTTGACACAGTTTCTATAAAAGGCCAGAGAAGAAATACCTTGGGTTTTGCAGGCCATATGGTCTTGGTTCAGAGTTACTTAATTCTGCTCTTGCAGCACAAAAACAGTCATAGAGAGTAAGTAAACAAATGAATGTGGCTGTGTTCCAATAAAACTTTATAAAAAACAGGTGATGATGCCGGGACCGGTTTGGCTCAGTGGATAGAGCATCGGCCTGTGGACTGAAAGGTCCTGGGTTCGATCCCGGTACATGCCTTGGTTGCAGGCACATCCCCAGTTGGGGGTGTGCAAGAGGCAGCTGATCGATGTTTCTCTCTCATCGATGTTTCTAACTCTCTGTCCCTCTCTCTTTCTCTCTGTGTAAAATCAATAAAATATATTAAAAACAAAAAACAAAACAACAAAAAAAACAGGTGATGAGTCAAATTTGGTCTTCAAGTTGCAATTTGCCAATCCTCTGTTCTACAAAAATGATTAAAAACTAAGACATTCTTTCTATGCCTTCAATTCTTCTTAAGCTATTATTATACTTTGATATAATCTATTGTGTAGGACTTTTAATTTCACAGTAACCAAATAATATATTTCAAACAATGAAGAAAAGAACAGAAGACGTTCCTTGAACCTCATTGTGGTTTTAAGAAAGTTACTTTCAATGTGTTCCTGTTTTTTCAACTTTTTCTATTAAAATGATTGATTAGGTCAAGAGAAGAAAGTAAAAATACTATTATTTTCAAAAACTGAAAACTCAGCACATCCGAGGAAATAAACTCTTTATAAAAGATAAAATATTTTTATTTTCCACCTCATGTTTATTAGCAGACTAAACCACAACCATAACAGTCTCTCCAAGTCAAAATCAGTTTAATAGTGAGGCCTGGTGAATAATTTACCCAGTGGGACAAAAGTTCTACTTAATCTAACATGAATGGCCAAAAGAGTAAGCTTGGGGGGAAATGAGGTTTATGAAATGATCTCTGACCTCTAATTAAGAGTTCTGCTGGAATACAGCAAAACATGTAACACTAAAAGCAAACAAAACATTTTTAAAAAAAAGAAAATAGCATCTGAGGAAACAGTTCAAGAATATTTATGCATGAAGAATCTTTTTAATGCACTTAAAGGTAATCACAAGATGAAGTATTACTTAATTGCGTGTTATTTTTAGTCTGGACTTTCATTAATTCCTTATATCTTACCCTTGACTAACACATTCACTTTTGTGAAATACCGATTATAGAGAAATGAGGAAGTTTAAAATGTAAGCCAACTTGATCTCCCTACCAGCATTCCGAGCTGTGGCCACAGAAGAACGGGATTTGAAGCCAGAGCTTCTCTGGAGCACAGTCTGAGCCACCCTCTGCTACACATTCATCAAACGTCTGGAACGAAGACACATCAGCACATATGAGCCATGATCTCAAGTCACTGTGGGTTCTCATTCACTGAGATACTGAATTAAAAGGATAGGCAGGTAATAAACACATACTTGAGATTGTTTCCACATAACTGAGGAAAGTTAAACATGGATTTTCCTCATGCCTTTGTCTATGCCAGTGTTTGTATGAGTTATTTTACTATATGAATGGAAAACCCCTAGATAAAAACTCTCCTTAAAAATAAGTATTGGTTTATTAAATTATTATCTGTGTACATATTTTAACATTGCTCCCCCCTCCCATACATATTTATATATTTATACTTTCTAACTTCTTAACCAAGTGAAAACAAGGCTAACAATACTATTACTTCTTTATAATCATTTGATTATACTCATCTATGAAATAATCATTTGAAAAGAACATAAAGTAGGGCTACACTTAAGTCTCTTCATACAAAGCAGAAGTGACTTCAGATACTTACAACCTACAAGTGCACCTGACTGAAGTAATTAGAAGGAAAAGAGATTCACAGCTACGTTTCTAAAATTACTTAATTCCAATTTTGTGAGTACTCACTGTCTGTCACAGGCATTTTAACAGTAGCCATTATAATATTGAGATACCAGGGAATAAACTCGGGAGCTGTGGATGCTGCAATGAGACATCTACAAAGACCACCTATTATTTCTGAGAGGAAGCAGATGGAGTAGAATGAGTCCTATTCAGAGTCCAGGCTCCTACATTTCTAGATCCAGGTTTCTTGGTTTTAGAAGCTTGGCATCTACTCTAACTCATTCACCTACCAAATGTTTTATTATCCAATATAATAAAAGGGTAATATACAAATTGACAGAATGGCAGAATGACTTGTTGCTATGATGTGCACTGACCACCAGGGTGCAGATGCTCAATGTAGGAGCTGCCCCTCCACTGCACCCCCCACAGTCAGTGTGCTCCCACAGGGGAGCACTGCTCAGCCAGAAGCCAGGCTCATGCCTGGCGAAGGCAGCTGTGGTGGACAGGAGCCTCTCCAGCCTCTGCAGCAGCACTAAGGATGTCTGACTGCCACGAGAGCAGCCTAAGTTGTCAGTTGGCAATACCCCGAGGGCTTCTGGACTGTGAGAGGGCACAGGCCAGAGTGAGGGAACCCCCGAGTGCACAAATTTCATGCACTGGGCCTCTAGTACAATATAAAACCAGAAAAATATGCCTTGAGAATTTGGCTCAGCGGATAGAGGGTCAGCCTGTGGACTGAAGGTACCAGGTTCGATTCTGGTCAGGGGCACATGCCTGGGGTTGGGGGCTCCTGGTATCTCCATTTTCATCATTGATGTTTCTTTTTTTTTTTTTTTTTAATATATTTTATTGATTTTGTACAGAGAGGAAGGGAGAGAGATAGAGAGTTAGAAACATCGATGAGAGAGAGTCATCGATCAGCTGCCTCTTGCACACCCCCTACTGGGGATCTGCCCGCAACCAAGGTACATGCCCTTGACCGGAATCGAACCGGGGACCCTTCAGTCTCCAAGCCGACGCTCTATCCATTAAGCCAAACCGGTTTCGGCCATTGATGTTTCTATCTCTCTCTCTCTCCTTTCCTCTCTGAAATTAATAAAAATATATTCAGAAAATAAAAAAACAAAAAAACTAGAAAAAATATTCTTGATGCCATTTAGTTTATTATTATAGTTTAGATACTTAACTCCTATAATTGAAAGTTAAAATAAAAATTTGATGCTTGATGGTAATGGCAATTATATGGTACACTGCACCCTCTTCTGCTTCTTACTTTATATAGAAAACTGAAACTAAGCATGAGCTCCTTCAATTTCCTGCTTAGATAAAAGTTTACCTGCATCTGTAGCTTCCTACTGCCCTCAGCATGAAAGAGACATTTGCTTCTCCTATCTTTGAACACCATTCTCACCTCCTTCTGAGACCCTTGCTTCATTCAATTTCGCTCTAGTTCTTTGTATGATCACCCCTTGCTGACTTCCGATATATTAATATGCCAAGTGTCTGTTATCTTAAAGAAACATTTACTGATTTTTTTGTTTCTTTCAAAGCCAAACTTCTATTTCAAGAGTAGTCCTTCCTCAAGGTCAGTCTCAGTGGCTTCCCAACATTTTAGATTCCACCTGAACTCCTTTCTCTGACATCCCGAATAGACTTGCATTGACAAATCAAAGGGACAGATTTGAATCCTCATTCCACTAACCTCTTTGTAATTGAAATTATTTTCCTCGCCATTTCAAGGACTTGCCAGGTTTGTCTTCTGATTCTCTGACATTAGTCTCCTGGGTATGCTGCTCTTTACCTGCCTGCTCTTTAAATGTCGGCATATCTGCATCCTCTCTTTTTCTCCTTCCTGTTTCACCTGGTTCTCTTTTCAAACTCGATATGTCTCCAAGTGCAATTTCATTCAATCCCTTTGTTTTAACTCCCACCTAATGTTGGTGTCTCTCAAATCTATGATTTAGTTCAGACTTATATTTTGAGGTCCAAATACAATTTCTAGTGGATACCTCCATTTACTCATACATGACTAAAAATAACGTCCAATTTTATCTCTTTCTTCAACTCCGTTACAACATAATCTTCCCTCTGTTTTCTCTTTCTAGAGGAAGAAACCACCTAAGGTACAACCAGAAACCTGGGAAAACCGGCGAAGGCTAACTCTGGATTACACATCTTTTACTGAGATAGAGAAAACTGATCTACAATGAAAAGCTACTGAACCTGTAAGCATGTCAACTGCAAAGGTAATATATTGCTTTCTTGTGGTGCCTTTTACATATAAAATACTTTTTAAGCAAACAGTAAGTTTGTAAATGCCTTTGTGAGACAGCAAAGTAAAATGAATGTTCGATAAGCAAACCATTGTGGTGAACTGCTGAGGGCTATGGAGGCAGTATTCTGTAAGCAATGGTAAGATCAGGTAGTGCTAAGTATGGCCTCCTTTCAACCTTATTTACTATATATTTATTATGTAAATTAGCATATATGAATTATTATATATTTTAGGTAATAATTTTAAATTCATTATAATACCTATAGCTGTTGACAAGCTTAGTTAACTTAAAGAAATACAAAAAGCAAACTGGGGCAGGAACTGGGATCTCTGGGACCAATGAGTACTTCTTCACATAACCTGACTCTTCTTTAGATTGTTACTTAGAGCACATAACTACTTACTCTTTCCATAAGTATACACCCCCTTACTATTCTGTTAACAAAATAATTAATAAAAAGTGTTTAATAATTGATAGGGTAGTACAGTTAAAATCATAAAAATAATTACACACTCTGAGTATGAGATTTATTAGTGCAGTTAATATTATTTGGAAGTCATTAGGAAGGGCATGGAGACAAACTATGTTATTCAAACTTAGGTAACTGGAGGACATTTTCTCAAAATGAACAAAGTGTGCCTGTCTGCCACTTGAAATCGAACACCTGACAGTGTAAGTAGCCCAGTGGTTCTCAGCTGGAGCTGTTTTGGCTGTCAGGCAACATTGGCAATGCTGGAAGACAGTTTTATTTCTCACAACTAGGGTGTGTGTAGGAAGGGTGTTACTGGGTGGAGGTCAGAGATGCTGGAAAATATTCTACAATTACAGGCAGATCCCCACACAAGAATTATCACCCAAAACAACAACAGTGTTGAGGTTGAGAAATTCTGTGATATAAGTTAAGCTGTTAAGCAAAGAAATAAAATTTTGGAATACTCGATAAACTATTACTTGAGTTTAACTGTTTGCAATACTTAAAGACTTTACTGATGAGATCAGTGGTGATACTGTAAATTTTTGATATTGTAAATTAAATGTGTCAGCATTTGAAAAATCCACATAACATCCACATGATGTTACAAAATTATGCTCAGTTAAAAATCTATTCAAAGTGTAATTATATCAATGGATGCTAATGTAGCAGAGCATAACGGTTCACTGCTGTGGCTTCAGAATCTACACTTCAGCAATGTCAAGAAGCTACTACTTGTCAAGTTTCAGTGTAGTATTAAAGAGGGATATCTGTGATTTTCTGAAAAGGTTATTGAAATCCTTCCCTTTCCAATTACTTTATATGTGTAAAGCTTGATCTTCTTCCTTTTTTAAATGTTTTGATTGATTTTAGAGAGAGAGAAAGTGAGAAGAGAGAAAGAGAAGGAGCGAGGGAGGGAGATTGGGTTGACTCCCACATGTATCCTGACATGGGATGAAACCCATAATCTGGGCATGTGCCCTAATCGGGAATCAAACTAGTGACCTTTCAGTGCATTGGGACAACATTCAACCAACAAAGCAACACTGGCCAGGACAAGCTGGATTTTCTTTATACACTTCAACCAAAAGAATTGGTTAAATTAAACTGACTGTTTTAGCAGTGATAAAATGTAAGATGCCACACTTTTGACACTTTTTGAAAATGGTTATTTGCATGAAAATATTTAGGTTATCATATTATGAGTTCCCTACTGTTATTTTTTAACTACTTAATATTTTTAAAGTCCTCATTTGTTGGTGAATTTACTGATATTGGTAAATATCAGTAGATATAATCCTACATAAACAAAAGTTCTTTGCTAGTCCTAAATAACTTTTTTTAAGAGTAAAAGGAGTTCTGAGTTTTAGGAATGCTGATTTACTTATATAGTTCTTCAATGCTTCAGTGCTGAACTACTATTTAATGTGTTTCAAATTGTTACTTGAGGTACAAATAATATACAATTTCATGGAAATGAAACCACTGCAAGTTATTTCCTATCCTATATAATAAATGCCTAATATGCTAAGTGTATGGACGTCCTGGCAGACTTTCAACCAAATAAGCATAATATGGTAATTATATTCTAAAGCCGCTCAACCACTTCCTATGACATGCAATGACCACCAGGGGGCAGACAGTCAACCAATTGCTATGACGTGCACTGACAACCAGGGGACAGACGCTTCAACTAGTAGGCTAGCTTGCTGCTGGGGTCCAGTAGATCGGGAATGACTGAGATGGGCTGGACAGGCTCTGGGACCCTCTCACAGTCCCTCCCCAGCTGGCAAACTTCCCATGTCTCTCTCCGGCATCAATCGTGCACCAGTGGGTCACTCGGCCTGGTCTGTGCCCTCTCGCAATTCGGGACCCCTTGGGGGATGTCAGAGAGCCAGTTTCGGCCCAATGGTGAAACAAATGGTTGCTATGTCACGCACTGACCACCAGGTGACAGACGCTCACAAGAGCTGCCCCTGGGGGTCAGTGTGCTCCCACAGGGGGAGCGCCACTCAGCCAGAAGCCTTGCTCACAGCTGGCAAGTGCAGTGGTGGCGATCAGAGCATCTCCCGCCTCAGTGGCAGCGCTAAAGATGTCTGACTACAGGCCTAAGCTGGCGAACGGACATCCCCTGAGGGCTCCCAGACTATGAGAGGGTGCAGGCTGGGCTGAGGGGACCACCCCCCACACCCCCGTGTGCATGAATTTCATGAACTGGCCCTCTAGTATCTTTATAAGCACCTGTTAATCCCCATTGATCTTCTATTTTCAAAATGTTAACCCTGCCTTTTCAAAAATGTTATGGTGGAATCTCAGTTCTCTAACTTAATTAGAGAAGGCCGTCCAAGAAATAATTTGAAAATGGAATCGTTTTTTTCTCATTAGAAATAATGTAAATTTAATTAATTTGTTCCAGCTCTACAAATGATTCCATTTTATTTAACAAATTTTTATTGACTTCAGAGAGGAACGGACAGGGAGCGATAGATAGAAACATCAATGATGAGAAAGAATCATTGACTGGCTGCCTCCTGCCCACCCCCTATTGTGGATCAAGTGCACAACCCGGGCACCTGCCCTTGACTGGAATCAAACCAAGGACCTTTCAGTCCGAAGGCTAATGCTCTATCCACTGAGCAAAATCGGCTAGGGCCAAATGATTCCATTTTAACCTTTCTTATATATAATACATGTCTAATGTACTGTTTAATCTATAAATAAGCACTTTTTCCCCTTTAAATTTATCAGCCATTCCCTACTATCCTTAAATGCATCACTTTCAGTAGTAGGTTCAGGGATGTCTTTCAGGTTAGCATGTAGCATCTTTGTTTATTCACATATCACTGCCTCCAAAATGCTGTCACCCAGCTAACTGCTTTTTGTTTATCCAGATCAACAACAGTTTTTCTACCTCTTCAATTGCCGGTGATCATTGTTTCTTTCACACCCTTAGCAACATTAGCACTTTTTTTTTTTTTAATCCTCACCCGAGGATATTTTTCCATTGATTTTTAGAGAAAGTGGAAGAGATGGGAGATACAGAAAGCGATACATTGATTGGTTGCCTCACGCATGCACTCCCACCAGGACTGCGGATTGGGGTCACAACCCAGGCATATACCCTGGGCCAGGATAGAACTAGGCGCCAACACTCTATCCACTGAGCCAAACCAGTAAGGGCAACATTAGCCCTTCTGATGGCCTCTCTGTGTTTTACAATTGTGTTAATCCTTTATTTCATCAGCAACAAGAGCACTCTCTTCTTTATGTGTGGTCTGAGACAGAAGTTTTCTGTCGTGCCGAGGTATCAATATGAAAAGGATTGTCAGGTCAGAAAACTGAAGTTTTGTTCTACAACCCGGACATATTTTTTCTGTTAACAACTTGGTTGAGAACCGAATTGTTCCAGATAGGAAACACTTGAGAAGAGAACCAAGGTTTGACTGTATATGCCACGCAGTCTTATTAACATCACAGAAGTGACTTAATATTAAGGAATTATTTGCAATAAAAAAACATTATTGGGTCCCAGAATGTTACCAACATTTGTGTCATGAGGAATAAGCCAAATTAATAAAAATGTGTATGTCTCAATATGTTATGAGACTAGACAGGCCCATCTGTCAATCACAAAACAAAGGAATTTTCGACTTTCAGAAAGCATTTGTAGATGATCCTGTCTTCATGAGAATTAAGGTAATGCAATAGTATGGAGGACAGTGATATTTCATGTGGCTGAAGCACTGGATGCCTGAAAGAAAGTGAGGCAGGTCTCAGGTTATGTCAGACTGTGTCTCCGATGCCTTGGCCAATCCGAGCAATGAGGTTCCAGTAAAGGTGATCCACCAGAAATATTGACAAATCAATCTGGTTTTTGTTTTGTTTTTTTACAAAAACAAGCCTGGTTTTCCCCTGGAGGATGCACATAAATAGTACATAACCCAATACTGAACCTGCTAAATAAGAACACTAAGCCATAATTCTGTCCTTGTTTAAAACAAAACAAAACAGCCGGGACCGGTTTGGCTCAGTGGATAGAGCGTCGGCCTGTGGACTGAAGGGTCCCAGGTTCGATTTCGGTCAAGGAAATGTACCTTGGTTGCTGGCACATCCTCAGTGGGGGGTGTGCAAGAGGCAGCTGATCTATGTTTCTCTCTCATCAGCATTTCTAACTCTCTGTCCCTCTCAATTCCTCTCTGTGTAAAATCAATAAAATATATTTTTTTAAAATAAAACAAAACAAAACAAAAATTGCTTTAGCAAAATAGTGTCCCTAAACTGATGATCATAAAGACTAAGACTAAGAGAACCAAAGTACATACACAAATACATCATATCAATGAATAACTATAATGGTCTCATAAAATATTGTTAATACAATAACTATAATAAAACAAATATTCAGCCTTGTAACTGTGACAAAAGCACTATGTGTACTCCAAAGTACCAATTATAAAGTAGTTTTACTTTAGCTTCTTTATATTTTTGGGCTCTTTTCAAATGTTCTACAATAAGCAAATAGAAAAATTGTCAGATGTTAACTTTTATTATATCAAATATCTAGCATCAATAAACTTTAAAAGGACACTGTTCATTGCATTTTATAAACAATTACCTTTACAGAAGTCGTAAAACTAAAATATTACCTTTTTGTCTCCTTGTTTTCGTCTTCTTAATCCTGGTCTATAATCATCCCCAAATCTCAGAAAGTAATAGTAAGAAACTAGCCTCTCAATAGGATCCCTTATGACATTAATGTAAATTGGTTTCTTTTTCACACCAAATCTGAAATAGAACAAAATGTAAAAGATTAAATCAACATTATTATTGTATTTAGGAATGTGCAGAAATTAAACATTTAAAGTATTGATTTCATATGAAAAAAAGAACATGAATATAAATATGTGGAGATTAAAAATATTTTAAAGATTTATTACAATAAAGTAAATAAGAATTTAAAAATCATAGCTGAAAATAAAGGAAAGGAAAAATTAAATAAAAAATAATTTAAAAATTTACAAAGTTACTTAAAACATTTTAATTTCATTGCAGCAATGATTCCTCATTTCTGGCCCACCATACTACATAATGATATATGAATGGATGCAGCATAAGTCCACACAAGTACGACCATTAGAGTTTGCTTTCTACTGCTGCTGATTTTAAAGATAAAATAGAAGTGAAAGATATTATGTTTTTAGCATTATTTCCTCATGGAATAAGTTGAAGGAACACAAGGCTTTTATGTTAGCAACCTGTGCAGAACCTAGAATTGTCCAGCTGGCTCCCTATTATAATATCATCATGTGTCCCGGTCTTGATAACTTAGTGTTATCTTGACTCTTCAGTTTCCTTATTCTTCATTTAGTGCAGTTACCAAGCCCTTCTAATCTTCACTTTTGTAGGCTTTCTCACAGATTTTAACTTTTCTTCCTTGATGACTCCCTTTCTCTTCACCGCTGCCCTCTCCCTAGGTCTCTTGCTTAGATTACTGCAATAACCTAGTTGGTTTTCTTACATCCAGTCTCTCTCTCTTTCAATCTACTTACCATACCAATTCTCAGCACCAATATTCCTAAAACACCATTTGTTGGATCACTCTTCTTAGAAATCTGAAACTCTATGGTTTATATTGACATCATTCCCAAACTCCTTTGCTTAGCTGTTAATAATATCTGTTTTGACTTTTGACTTAGGTAGCACCTTATTGATCTAACTTTATTTTCAAATTAGAGGTCCGATGCATGAATTCATGCACCAGTGGGGTCCCTTGGCCTGGCTTACCTATCAGGCCAAAACCGGCTCTCCAACATCCTCCAAAGGGTCCTGGATTGTGAGAGAGCACAAGCCAGGCACAGAGAACCCCCTGGTGCATGACTGGGGCTGGGGAGGGACACAGGAGGTAGGCCAGCCAGGGAGGGATTGCAGGAGGGCTCTAGGGCACGTCTAGCCTGAATTATTCCTGATCAGCCAGACCTGTCAGAGTGTCTGACCCTTGCTGGTCAATGCACATCACAGCAACTGGTAGACCAGTCGACTGTCTCCTGGTGGTCAGAGCACATCATAGTGAGTGGTTGAGCAGCCTTAGCATCTCATTAGTGTATTACACTTTGATTGGTTGAATGGACAACAGGACAACCAAACACTTAGCACATTATGCTTTTATTATATAGGATAAGAGACCATCTATCTGTTAAGATTTAGGCCTGCTTCTTCTTACCCCTCCATTACTATTTCTTATTATACTGATTCCTATTTCTTCTTACATGCCTCTGCCCATTGTCTTTCTTAACTAGAATGCCTTCCTTATTTTCCTATTACATTAATTCACTCAAAAATGCCTTTTTAATGCACCACAGGTTTGCCATGCACTATTCTAATACTAGGAATATAGCAGTAAAAAAAAAAAAAAAAAAAAAAAAAAAAAAATTCTTGTCCTCTGATGCTAACATTCTACCTGGAAGAGACAGAATATAAACAAATAAGCAAATATGTCAAATGGCAAAAAGTACAAGAGAAAAATAATGCCAGGCAATTTTGAAGATTAGAAAGATCAATCTGGGTGCAGCAGAATCGGAAGGGGATATTAACGGAGCATGAGTTAGAGAGGTGAGGGTGGGGCAGGGAAGAGCAGATCATGTTTGTCTTGTAGGCCATTATAAGAATTAGGATGCAGTCCTGACTGAGTTAGCAGCGAAGTGTCACATTATGGGACCTAAAGTACAGCTTAACACCTACAGTTAACTAGAGGCCTGGTGCATGAATTCGTGCATGGGTAGGGTCCTTCAGGGCAGCCTGTGGGCCCTGCGTCTGGTGCCCATCCTAATGCAAGGGGGAGGGGGGAGTTGGGGATGCAACTGGCCCTCTGGGCAGGCAGTGGGATGCCCTTGCCGGCCAGGGATCTGGATCCATCCTGCTGACATTCGCACTGGTTGTTGGGAATCATCTAGCAGCTGCTTTTTATAACATTTCTTCCTTACAAAGCATCTAGGGAGGAGAAGTGGCCATGGTGCCCGAGAGGCTGGCAGTGATATGGGAATTCCAAGAGGCTGGCAGTGATATGGGAATCGTGCCGGTGGTGCCAGTCCATCAGTGACTGGCCCATTCTCTGGAGATTGGTAAATACTGAAGGAGTGAGAGGCTGCTGCTGGGCTGGTGGGCCTCCAGAACGGGTTGGTCAGCTAAGTGGTGCTCCCTGCATTGAGTGTCTACCCCCTGGTGATCATTACAGTATATTGTACAATATTATATAATTGTACAATATATTGTAACTGAGACCCAAGTTCAGCTACCTGACCAAAAAAAAAAAAAAAAAAAAAAAAAAAAAAAAAGCCAAACTTTGGAAGGAATTTGGTTTATTCAAGTACAGGCAACTGAAGAAGATAGGGATCTCTTGCCCTAAAGCCCATCTCAACATCTCAGTCCAAGCAGAGGTTTTTATAAGGAGGGAGAGGGAAACAGAACAAAGAGATCAAGGGGAGGAGGTTGAAAAGTTCTCTACATATAGACCAACACAGTCCATTCCAATAAGGATCTCAAAACTGATCAAGCAATGGTCTGGTGTGTGGCATCCTGGTTTTTGTCACCTGGTTTACAGTTGAAGGTCAGCAAATTTCCCAGAACTGGGATGACTGAAGGCCAGAGTCTATATCTTTTGAAGTTAGTTCCTAGAATTCCTATACAAACATGTTGTTTATCTATAAGCTACATATTAATCAGTCAACATTTACAGAAACAATGTCAAAAGAATGGGATTAGGAGCCCTGCCTGAGTAGCTCAATTGGTTAGAGCATCATCCCCAATACCCAAGGTTGTGTGTTTGATCCCCAGCCAAGGCACATACAAGGAACAACCAATGAATCCATAAATAAGTGGAACAAATCAATGTTCCTCTCTCTCTAAAAATCAATAAATTAAAAAAAAAATTAAAGAATAGCATTAGGAGAGAAAGAAGTAGTTAGGAAAGGAATATAAATATGTAACAAGAAGATTTTTTTGTTATTATTCCAAAGTTCTGAATAAAACCAGATAAATATTACTAAAACCTGGCTTGGGCAGAAACAGGCCTGCAAATAAAATGTGTGCTTCCTAGTAATCAGTCTAAATGAGAAAGTACTTCTCATTTTTTATTTCCTTATCTTATTTCCCGAGTTTTCTGGGTTTACACTCTTTTTAGCATCTCTTCTAAGGCAATTGAAAAGATATGCGATTAACTATTTACTTCACCAAATTGGGCCATTTACTCCTAAAGGCAATTATTTTAATGGAGTCCACAAAAAACTATGCCAGTCAAAAATATATTTTGAAGAATGAAGTATTTTAAAAATTGGTATGATGACATTTCTTTCTCCTTCTTTACTCATCCATGATGAGTATGACTATCAAACTAAAAATTACATTAAGAGATACTAGTTATATCTACAATAGTTCCTGACAACATATATCAAAATGTATTTTCTCTAGTTTTTTAAGTATTTGTTTAAAATCTTATAAAAGTCTATTAAAAATTCTCACAATACTTTTCACTTCTAATAACATGAAACCCATTATGAAAATATTCAAACTCTAAATGTTCATTTTTGTATTTATAAATAAGATTAATTTTTTCAACAAGCTTTATATTTTTTCAACTGCAAGAACTCCAACATATACCAGAGCTTCGTTCTTAGTACAAGACTTTTGCCAAAAGCAAAAGTATGCAATACATTATTTTAATAATGAAAATCTCAAATATTAGAAACCAAGCACCGAATGTGGAAAAAATAAATCATTTAGGTGAAAGGGTAACAAACATTCAATTGAAGGATAATGCAGCCCTGAGGGGGAATATGCATATGAATAAAGTTTATGAAATTGGTTCAATGCCTCTGCAAAGAAAAAATAATTAGTTTATTTTAAAGCAGCCTATAAAATGTTTTCAATATTGCAATATGAATTATTTATAGAAAAATGCACATCTATGAGGGAAGGAAAAAGGAGGAGGTAGAGGAAGATATGGGGGATAAATAGTGGTGGATGGAGACTTGACTTGGGATGGTGAACACACAATACAGTGTACAGATGATGTGGTTTAGAATTGTGCACCTGTATAATTTTGTTAATCAGTGTCACCCCAATAAATTTAATTAAAAAGATAAAGAAAAATGTATATCTAACTTTAAAGCTATAATTTGATTGAAGATCTTGAATGCAGTGTGAGCAACTAGAAATAAGAATATATTGCTTTGTGTATATAATATTTGGAAGATTCCTTTTTATTTACATGCTTTTCAAAAAAGTTAAGATTTATTATCAATCTGAATCAATAACATTTCATTCTATTTTTTCTGGATATCAATTTAATTTTCAAATTTTATACAGAATGCTCTTTAAAGTTGACAAATATTTTACTTTGAAATCATAACTGCTAATGAAAAAACTGAGTAAACATGTCTAAGCTTAAATAATTTCTTAAATATATTTTTAATGTGTTTAATGTTAGTGCAGGGTCTCATAGGGAAAAGACTTGGATTCGGGGTATTACTATAATGATAAATCCTAAAAAGCATTCAAATGGATTCACAAGCTGTCTGTGTTTAGAATATTCCTTTTGACCAGTTTTCTGATTAGTACTTAATGTAGCGCAGACTCCACTGGGAGCCACATAGAGTAAGTATGCCTGTAGTTTCATAAAATTTTCTTAAGAGAATTATAATAGAAATACTTGATCCCATTCTTCTAAAAAATACGGAAAATGAATGTTATTTATCTCCAGTTTCAGGCAATTAGCTATAAGAAAATAAAGGAAAATCACTATATTTTAAAAAGTCTCCTTTGAACACATCCTAATTTTAAAGTGAAAACGAGGCAGCCTCAGGGAATGTGCATACTCACTGGTCCTGGCTGAGCAGTAGAAGCACTGGGCATCATTAACTGAGTGGTGGCTTCTCTGCTTTCTAGTTCTTAGCCAATGGTAATCCATAATCTGATTGGCCTCTAGGTTAAAACTTGGTGTTTCCTAAAATAGTTTTATTTGGTTGTACAAGAAACCTAAATGTAATAATGATAAATAACTTCAAAGAGTATTACCTAAATTTAATCTACCTCAAATTTCTGAAATTAATATCCACAATTATCAATTTATGAACACTAGAGGGCAGTAAAACACTAGAAGGTATATTTAAATTACATAACTAAAAGTGGCAAAGGCAAGCCAATACTTTTTTTTTTTTTTAGTCGAAATCCTAACAAGTTAATAAATTTATTCCTTCTTTAGATTGCTAAAGTACAAAGTATTCTTTGGCATGTCAGTTTAGGTATAACTTACTTTGCAAAGTCCAAATAAGAAATGTGTCCATGATAAAATCCAGGTTTCATCTCTTTCCAGGAAGTGATATTTTTCACAAAGCGTACCTAAAATAGGAGGACACACTCATTACTTACATGTAATTTAAAGAAAATGAAATTTAATGATAGCAAACTACTTTCCATGTAGACATTTAAAACCAATCACAATTGTAGTTGGACAATTACAAAGCTTAAAACACAGCTTTCTAACTAAGAAAAGTATAGTTAACTACTAATTCATCATCAAGAGAGCTATCACCACAGTCAGAAAAGTGGGAAAGAAGACCTGAAAAATGCATTGCACAATGCAGTCACTCACAATGCTGTACAGTGCAGACATTCACATGGAGTGAGGGAAGGTAGTACAAACACACATTGTGAAAATAAACAAATCATCTTTTTTGTCAAAGAAAAGTTCACTCAGAAGCCATTTTGGCTTATGTGACTTGGCAGCTACCATGTTGGCTGCATGACTTGCAGGTCCCTGGGGGCCGCCATCTCGAAATGGCAAAGGCCAATCTCTCTCTTTGAATTAGCCAATCATGAAAGACTGTGGGCATGTGCTCCAATGAGGAGTGAGGAACAGGTCATGGGCATCAGGATTAAAAAGCTGGGCAGACCACCTGCTCAGTGTGCGAGTGCTTCCATACTATGTGTGTGCACACCCTCCTGCAGGAGTTAAAACATTTGCCTTGCTGTTTGGCTCCCGAGTATGTTTTGTGTCCTACCAAGACCCCTGAATTTGGGAGCTCGCCTAATTTCTTACAACATGATGAAGCAGGCAGCACTGCAGCAGAGGAAAATTCTAGGCAAATCTGTTTTCTATTAGAGACCTGTTATTCCTAAAATTCATTTTTATTAACAATTCAATAAATTAAAAAATTGCTAAATCAAAATAGAGAAAACATCGTAATTACCAGAAAACTTTAAAGAGTTAAGAGCAGATATCATAAGTTTGTTGATAAAAAAGATAAAATTAGAGATGTGATATAGGTAAAATAAAATTTTTAAAAAGCTAATTACTCCTTTAATTTAATAGAATTAAAAGTATACAAAAAATTAGTTAATATGAAAAAGTCCTTGCAAATATATTTTAAAAATTTGCCCTGCTGGTATGGGTTAGTGGATTGAATGTTGACCCATGCAGCAAGAGGTCACAGGTAACTCTACACTACTAGCTAATTTCCTTAATTTAACTGTCCAATTTATACAAGGCATTAAAACAACAACAAAACAACCAGAAGAATTTGAAAGGAAAAGAGAGTCATCCTTCATATCGGGATTCTGATTTAAAAACTTGGACATTGGAGAATGTCAAGTTTTACTCACTAAAGAAACCCCTCAAATCCAATCATTAAAACTCCTTGACCTCCAAAAACTCAAAGTTCTTTAGATCTCCCTCTCTGTCTCCCAATTGCTTATTTTTCCTCAGAACATTCACTACAATATCAACTTCCAAACCACCCTGTTCACTACTCTCATACTGGACAACCATTTTTCAACAGTGACCACTAATTCTTGCCCTTTCTATTGTCTTGGGTAAACTCAGGAGTTGCTAAAGATTGCCAGTCAAAACTAAGAGATATGGTTTAACTATCTATATAGGATTTTGCATTTTATTTTCCAACTTTATTGTGAAGTAAATTCAGGCGGGTTATTGTTGAGACTTTTAACAACACCCATTGCTAAAATCTCTAAAAGACTCAGAATCTTTCTTTAATCCCCAACTAAAAGAATATTGAAGGCTATATACTTGATGCATATGTATTTTCTCCATTTCATCAACATTCAACTAAGGCAATATGCAATATGTTAAAGTCTCATTAATAAAACTGTGGCTGACTTACAATTTGCAATAATTCAAAAGATGCTCAACTGAGATTTACCTTCCCTCTATAGAAATAAAAAAGTGCTAAGCAAACAAATGATGTCAATAAGGTTAAAGCGGCTCTTCAGACTGATCTGGAGAATAGTCTTGAGTATTTACATACTACTGCAAGTCTATACCATTCTAAACTCTTCTTCCAAAGTGACCTCCAAGGTCATAACCAAGTAAATAACCCTCTTGAAGAACAGTATTTTGTTTTTCTTTTCAAAGTATTTAGCCACTTCTCCTTTTAGCCATCCTATATAATAAAAGCCTAATATGCTAAGTGTCCAGTCATCCAGTCAGCTGTCCAACCAATGAAAACATAATATGCTAATGATATGCTGCTAAGGTTGCTCAACCACTTGTTATGATGTGCACTGATCATCAGGGGGCAAGCAGTCAACTGGTCAACCAGTCACTATGATGTGTACTGACCACTAGGGAGCAGACAGTTGTGAGGTTGACCAATTGCTATGATGTGCACTGATTACCAGGGAGCAGATGCTCCAACCGGTAGATTAGCTTACTGCTGGGGTCCAGCTGATTGGAACTGAGTGAGACAGGCCAGACATGCCCTGGAGCCCTCCCGTGGTCGCTCCTGGCTGGCCAACTTCCTGCATCCCTCCCTGGCTCCAATCATGCACTGGCAGGGTCCCTTTGGACGGGCCTGCACCCTCTCACAATCCAGGACCCTTCCAGGTATGTTGGGGAGCCAGTTTTGGCCCAATGGTAGACCAACTAGTTGCTATGGCATGCATTGACCACCAGATTGCAGACACTCAATGCAGGAGCTGCCCCCTGATGGTCAATATGCTCTCACAGCTTAGCCAGAAGTTGGGCTCTCAGCTGGCAAGTACAGCAGCGGTAGTGGGAGCCTCTCCCATCTATGTGGCAGCACTACAATATCCAACTGCTGTCAGTAGGACAACCCCAGAGGGCAAATGAGAGAGTGCAAATTGGGCTGAGGGATCCCCCCCTCCCCATCTCTGTGCAAGAATTTCATGCACCAGGCCTCTAATGTTAAATATTTATCATCTTTCTCCTGAATTTTCCGTCGCTTCACCTTTAATCAGTCTAGTTTCAGTTCCTACTCCATCACTTTCTGTCTCCTCACCTCTACACCACTTACCTTGTCTTTCAGTATTTCTTCTGTTTTGTTCTAGTTTTTTTTCTCTACAGTGCAGCATTCTGCCTAAGACCTTGAGATAAAGCTCTGGAGCACAGAGGAGTGAAGGGAAATGGAGAGTAGGTGAGGAAGTTTCTACTTGGTTTTTAATGGATTCTTATTGTACTTGGCACTAATAAAAGTAAAGTGATAGACAAAGGAGCAAAACTAAAAAGAATCAAATGAAGTTAAGGAGACTGAAGACATTGCCAACTGGCTTGGGGAGAAAAAACAGACACCACAGTGACTTTACTCAAAGAGAATTTCTGTACTCTGATTGAAATAGGCTATCAAGAAGGATGTTTCAGCAGTAGTAGTTAGATATAATAGATTAAAAGAGATGTTTTCATGCCTAGCCTGGAGCAGATCCCAAACTGTGTTTGTTTGTTTAAAGTATTATATATGTCTCTTTTTTCCCCACTTGACCTTCCCAAACACTCCCACCCCCAAGGGCAAGCTCCCACCACCCCAGTGTCTGTGTCCATTGGTTATGCTAATATGCATGCATTTAAGTCCTTTGATTGATCTCTAACCATCCTCCCTGCCCCCCTGCCATTTGTCTCTGGACCTATTTTTGTTCATTAGTTTATGTTGATCATTATATCCCACATATAAGTGAGATCATGTGGTATTTATCTTTCTCCAATTGGCTTATTTCCCTTATCATAATGCTCTCCAGTTCCATCCCTGCTGTTGCAAATGGTAAAAGTTCCTTCTTTTTATAGTAGCTGTAGTATTCCATTGTGTAGATGTAATCACAGGTTTTAATTCACTCATCTGCTGATGGGCACAAGGCTGTTTCAAATCTTAGCTATTGTAAATTGTGCTGCTATAAACTAGGGGTGCATATATCCTTTTTGATTGGTGTTTCTGGTTTCTTGGGAGGGATATATTCCTAAAAGTGGGATCCCTGGGTCAAATGGGAGTTTCATTTTTAATTTTTTTAAGAAACTCCACACTGTTTTCCACAGTGGCTGCACCAGTCTGCATTCCCACCAGCAGCGAAGGAGGGTTCTTTTTTCTCTGTATCCTCGCCAGCACTTGTCGTTTGTTGATTTGTTGATGAAAGCCACCAAACTGTGATTTTTATCAGATTTTATAACTGAAGCAGAGTCAGGCTAGCAAGTAATCAGAGAAGACCTTCAGGGAAAACACAAGCAAGGTGGGGAGCAGTGCAGTGATTTATTTGCTAGTTGAATCAGACCTGAACCAGTGCTGCAGGGAAAAGCTGACAAATCACCATCTTGCTAATAGTGTATCTAGACCTATTCTTAATAAGATTAATCTCAACATTATGATTATCTGTGATCACAAAAGAACTTGTTTTCACTATCTAAAAGTAAAAATGCCACTCTGAACATCCTGGCCAAATTTCAATTTCTTAATAACTACCTATTTAATGAATACTATTAACTTGGGTAATTACTATATACTGAAGTCCTACTCATTTATATACTTAAAATAAAGATTCATTGTACACCGTGGGTAGTTTTATGAGACTAAACTAGAGAAGTTTTATATACGAAGAGGAAAACTGAGTAACTGTTGGATAAAAATATAAGAAAGGTCAGCAACAACTGCATACAGTATCTTCACTAAAGTTCAAATCTGTGTTATTCAACCCTTTTTTTGAGGGAAGGTGGTAATGGGCCTGGGTGTTCTAAATCACCTGAATTAAGGTTAGACCATATTATTACTCTCAATCAAATGATAATTATATTACTACACTCTGCAGTAATTATTATCATGGTATCATGCTCAGCTAAGAATGACTTTCAGAATTATAACTGGTTCATTTGTTCATTCATTTAACAAAGAAAGTTATGAAATGTCTACTAGGCCTCAGGCACTGTTCTTAAGCATGGAAATATACAGTAGTGCTGAATAAGACAGACAAGTTCCTTATATTATAATAGAGAAAAAGACAGACAATAAAATAAATCAGCAAATAATAGGAAAAATACAGAAAGACTGATGGTACACAATAACTTGGAAGAGGCATTTTATATATTTAAAATAGACATATTATAT